GGCTGTGCCGGAAAGCCACTTGTGGGGGGCAACTTGTGGTCTCGGTGGAGCTGGAAGCCAGATGGCATTTTCTGGCTTCTTTATTTCATGCTTTTCTTTCCTTATTTTTTTTGGGTGGCACATCCGGCAATGCTCAGGGGTTACTCCTGGCTCTGTGCTCAGGAATCACTCCTGGTGGTGTTCAGGGGACCATATGGGATGCCAGGGATTGAGCTCAGGTCAGTTGCATGCAAGGCAAGTGGCCTCCCTGCTCTGCTCTTGCTCCAGTCCCTGGCTTCATTTCTGACAAATACCCAAAGTACTTCTACTGCCTATCCTTTATAGCCCTGTCTTCTCCCTGTCAGAAGAAACGTCTGCAGAACTTTGCAACTCCATAAGCAATTAGTAGGAGCTGAAACACAACAAGCTTTTGTTATTTCCATGGGAGTCGGTGGCTCTGCTCAAGGGTCCTGAAAGCAGACAATTCTGAACAATAGCTCCAAAGCTGCTCTGAAATCAAAGGTTCTCATAACAGAGGGATTGCAAAATGAAAGTGTTTCTATTTGAAACAAACACCCCAGCCTCTCTCCAGCCCAATGAATTTGATTTTTCATTGTCCAAATAATTCTGGATTCCTTCTTTGAAAACTGCCTTCCTGCAGTCTATTTGTAGGAAGGACAAGAACATTGCCTTTTCCCTCCCATCAGTCCTCATTCTCTGTTTCTCCCAGGCCCGTAACCTAACTGCAGTGTGGCTAACCCACCTCCCCCTTCTCCTGCCCTGACTAAACCAGGCTCGGCAGGGTTGTCCTCCCCTTGCCATCCTGCCCACTGCTAGCTCCTGACATTTCTGTCCCCTTGGATGACATTTGTCATGGAGTACTATAGTCATTTAGATCTCATTTTCCTACTGGCAGACTGAGAGTCCTGGGCATGCAGGGGTTTTGTCTGTTTACCTACTGCTGTGTCTCCAGAATCTGGCTGAGCACAAGGGGGGTTCCACCGTCAAGCGTACATGAATGAAGAGATGGGCTATAAGAGACTACTGCCTGTTTGCAAATATTAAATCCATCCTCCAAGGACCAAAATGTGTCACCCTCAATAAAAGTAGCAGTTGACATATAAGAGCTTTCTGAGGGGCCGAGACTGGGCTCCAGGCGAGCGTGATTTCACTTAGTCTGCATAGCAGTCGGTGTGGTGAAAGAGAGTGTCTTCATTTTACAGATGAGGAAATTGAATCTCAGCGTAATGAAATAACTCGCCCAAAGCCACAGTTTGGAGGCTGTCCAGCACCAAAGTTCAAACCCTTCATTATTAAGCTCTGCTATATTGTTCTTGGTTTATTTTTTTTCCTTAAAAAAAAAAAAGGCTTGCTCTTCAAGCCTGTGTTCTCTCTTGAACACATATCTCATTTGCTTGTCGCTGTTTCTTTGCTTGCTATTTTCCCACCCTGGAGAAGCCCATGTTCTCTCTCAAACTTCTCCCTTTCTCTCCCCTCACATTTTTCTAAATAAGTTTCAGTAAAAACTGTCTTGCTACACTAAAACAAATAGACAAAATACAACAACAACAAGCCAAATTTGGGAAAAAAATAGCTAGCTATGGGAGCGTAGCTTAGTGGGACAAGGGGGAGACCTTGTCCATGTGCTTCTCAAGTGGGAGACCCTGAGTTCGGGTCCCAGAACCAAAACACATCAAAATGCAGATTTCTACGAAGAAAAAAAATCACATATCTATTCCCGTGAGGAAAAATTTTCATGGATCTGAACATCTCGTGTTTTCTTTCATCTTTTCCTACCCTCTGGGCTGAGAACACTCCAAGAGCATGAAGGGCCCAGCAGCCCCTGTGGGCGAGGCAGAGCAGCGCTGCATCAGGCAGCACTGTCGGAATCCAGTCTCCACACAGGGCAGCCGGTGGGACTGGGTGAGGGGACCGAAGGCCTGGCTGACCAGTCACTTCAAGTGTTCCACGTGAAGAAGGGTCCCAGAGAGTGGGTACTTATCTGCACACTTTCTGTGCCCCTTAGCTACTTAGAAAGAAAAAGCCAAAGCTTTAGTCTTTTTCTGGTGGGGGCTGAGGGCTCCTTCTAAGCAATGCTCAGAGGGCCCTGGGGACATTTTCACCCTGGGGGACTCTTGGCCAACCCAACTGGGTAGCAGGGCTTGGACCCAGGAGGAGCTGCCGCTTGGGCCCAGGGCTGCTGCAAACCATCAGGGCTGCACCTAGAAGTGCTCAGAGGGCCATGGGGTGGCAGGGGATTGGGTCCTTGCACATGCATAGCATGCACCCCTCATCCCACAGTTATATCCCCAACCCTGAAATTCCGTTTTCACCCTACCACTGATGTTGGTCCCCAGGAGAACACCCTGAGATATCAGGCTCTCATCCAAGATCAGCTTGAGTCCTTCCCTTAATGATCAGTTCTCACCTTCCTCTGAGGTGTTTGTGTGTGTGTGTGTAAAAGAGTAAGAGACAAAGATAGAGATATTTTGTTTATTTTTTTCCCATTTTATTTAAACACCATGGTTTACAAAGTTGTTCGCGATGATTTGTTGCAGGCACTCAGTATTCCAATACCACTCCTACCATTGCTGCCATCTTCTGTACACCATTGTGTCCACTTTCCCAACCACCCCTCAAGCCTGCCCCTGTAGAGGTCCACAATAATTTATTTTAATTGTTCATTATTACTAAATGGCTAACAGAATGATCAAAAATATTTCTATATTTTCACAGAATAAAATTTGTGAAAATTGTTGTATCTCACCATTAAGTCCTTGTCTGAGGGCTTATTAAGCTATCGGTGCAAGTTAATCCTTTTGTGATAATGTTTTTGTTAGTTGAGACTGGTTGGCTTCTGCATTCCATCCCATCCAATCTGGTGTGCTACTACTGGGATGTGAGTGTTGTAGAGTTTGGAGATGTTGCTCCAGTAAATCCAGAGTATCTAATTGAGCAGTTCGGCCAGAGGCATCTCGTTGGCTTGAAAGATAGATTAATTATAAATGCACCAATGAAACAGACAGTTCTCATACCCAGAAGGCAGCTTGGTCACCCACCATGCCTACTTTCCATTTGGTACCTGCCTGGACCACAATGTTTCTGTGCATTAGACCTGTGCATTCTGTAACTTATACCCCTCTCTCCATCATATGGTGAGTTCCCCAATGGTAGAGGCATTTTCTTTCTTCTGTCCTTTCTTTTTCTCTCTCTCTCCCCCTCCCTCCCTCTCCCTCCCTCCCTTCCTCCCTCCCTTCCTTCCTTCCTTCCACTCCTATCTCTTTCTTTCTTTCTTTCTTTCTTTCTTTCTTTCTTTCTTTCTTTCTCTCTCTCTTTCTTTCATTCTTTCTTTCTTTCCTTTCTTTCTTCTGTCTTTCTTTCTAGCTTTCTTTATGTCTTTCTTTCTTCCTTACTGTCTGCTTGTCTGTATGTTTTGGGGCCACATCAGCAGTTCTCAGGACTTAATCCTGGCTCTGTGCTCAGGAATAGGCTCAGAGTACCAAAACAGTGCTGAGTATCAAGTCCTACCTGCCATACTATTTCTCTGGCTCAATACTGTTTCTTTTTTAAAAATGTATTTTTATTTTTTCAATTTTATTTTCATAAAGTTGCTCACACTAATTAATTACATTCAATATTTTAACACCAATCCCACCACCACTGCACCTTCCCTCCACGATTATTTTGAATTTTCTCACCACCACTAAAGCCTGCCCCACAGACAGATGCTAAATAATTTATTTTGTATTGCTTTTTATGAATAGTTTAGGATGTCATGTGGCCGAAAAAGTGCCCAAGCATCAGGACTGTTTCTTATGCATCCTTTTCTTGGCAATCCATGACATAGGAGAGATATTTGGAAGATCAAGACAGACATGAACTGTGGAGAGTAAAGGAACCGCCTGGAATCAGGCAGGCTGGCTTACATTTCAGGTCTGTCACATACTGTCACAGATCTTTGACTATGGACAAGTGACTATGGATAAGTGACTCTCTGAGCTTGCGTATGCTCACTGGTAAAGTGAAGGCATTGCACCTGGAGCACAGTAAGCATGAACTGAAAGGATTAAATGCTTGGGCACATTAAACACCTGAACACAGAGTATGAGAGAGAGCATGCACCGTTTTCAGGCTACAATCTGGCCTGAGTCTTGACATAATTTCAGAGCAAGTCCAGAGCAAGTTCAATGAAGCCTGGCACCATCATCTGGAGGAGACATAGATTTCCCACAGTGGTCGAGTGCTTGAAATAAAAAAGAATCATGGGGAAGTTTGTGACACTGGTTGCCCCTTGGAGGAACGTCCCTTCTGCTGGCCCAGACAAACCTGTGCATCCCCTTGCTCCTTTGGAATTGCTTGGACACACCATGAGGTCAGCAGCAGCCAGTGTTGAGGCCTAAGAGACTAGAAATGACCATTGGCATTTCTAGTCTCCACTAATACAGATACACACACACACACACACACACACACACACACACACACACACACATGCAGCAGTGTCTTCCATCTGAAGAAGCAGGGGAAAGTAGCCTAGAAAGGCAGCTCTCTGCATTGAGGGGGCTGGGGCCCTGGGTCTCATTCCTCTCTGGCAGAAAGAATCTAGATCAATCCTAGGAGACAAATCACCCTCAGAAAAGCTGTGTGCAACAGGCACAAAAATCATAGACTTGGGCAATATGCACTCCTCTGATCAGGGCGTCCTTCCTTTATGTTCACGACAAGAGATGGGCTCCCCGTTCTGGAAAAGGGCAGCATGCTGGGCAGGCAGAGGGAAGTGGCCCAGACTCAGGGGGATTGTAAAATGTAGCAGAGAGGAAAGAAATGGTCATGCTTTGGTCCAGGGAAGACAATGGGATGTAGGAGGGTCTGGGACCCAGGCAGAATATCCTTCATTTCATTTGGAAGATTTTTCTGCTCCGGCATGGTAGTCGGAAAGTCCCTGGATTGTGAGGATGTCCTTATGAAGTTCTTGGGGGTCCTCTTAAGCATGTCTAAGAACTCAGATCTTCGAGTTGGTGGGCATACTCTGGCCTTCACTAGATGTTATGCAGGTCCTGGGGACCAAAGGAGGCTGGCAGCAGTTCCTGAACGGTCTTGGTTATATATGTGCCATCCGGCTTCGTCATGAAGACAGCCCAGTTGGTGCCAAACTGGAAGAGAAGTAAGAACAACATAAGAGAGGCGGTATGATTAAGGAGGGTTTAAGGACCCAGGTTTGGGTCTGTTCTACCTCTTACTACTCTGCATGCCTCAGTCTTCTCATCTGTAAATTGAGGATGGTGATAACCCTCCCTGGATCACAGAGCTTGATAGGAAAACAGTAAAAGATGTGTGTAGGCAGTCAGTTTTAGGCTTACCGCATTGTCAATTGGTAATAAACACACTGCTCTTACCAGGGACTCACTCAAGGGTTTCTAAGAACAGAAGTAACCTGTCCCAGCCCCAGGGGCAGATCTGCTGTTAGAGAAGAGCTCATACTTGCTTCCCTTAGCCTCTCCTCTACTCCTCACAGTCCAGATGCTCTTCGCCTCCCTCACCTGTCTGACTTATCCATCAGTTGTTTGAGGTGGGTACTATCAGCAAGCCCATCACATGCACTTAGGGCAGACCAGCAAAGCAGAACTTTACTCCCAATCTCCCCATCTCCCTCCCTCTCTCTCTCTCTCTCTCTCTCTCTCTGTTTTTTTGGGTCACACCCAGCTATGCACAAGGGGTTACTCCTGGCTATGCACTCAGGAATTACTTCTGACGGTGCTTGAGGGGGGCCATATGGGATGCTGGGGATCGAACCTGGGTCAGCGGCATGTAAGGCTGACCCGCTGTGCTATAGCTCCAGCCCTCCCCACCTTTCTCTAACATGCTTAGGAACCACCCCTTTTGATGTGCAGCCTTGGGTGAAGGACTGAGTCTTGGGGATCCCAGTGTGAAAGGACAAGAGAGACAGATGAACATACTGGACAGGGAGCAGGTGAGAAATTAAGTCGGTTGCTCAGCTCTCGCTGGACAGCTGCTGTGAGAGCCAGAGAGGGCAGGCGTAGATCCCTGTCCATGTGCCTGGCACATAATCAGTACTGAACCTCATTCTTTCATGTGGTGGGGCACACCTGGGTGTGCTGGGAGGGGCACGCAGTATGACTGAACTCTGGGTGCCCACATGCTGAGCATGTGCTCTTGCACTTTGAGTCATCTTCATGCTTCCTAAAAAGCATTTTTTGGCTTGTTTGTTTTGGTGTCACAACCATAGGTACTAAGGGGCCACTCCCAGCTTGGTACTTGGTACATGGAGCTGGCAAGCTGGACCTCCTGCATGAAAATCCTGCCCCAATCCCTAGAAGTAACTATTATTTTTTTAATGTACTGATCTTAGGTAAGGTAAAGGTAAAGGCCCTCCCGTTGATCGTCGATTTGCTCGAGCGGGCCCAGTAACGTCTCCATTGGAGACTTTGTTGTTACTGTGTCTGGCATATTGAACACTCTCGGTAGCTTGCCGGGCTCTCCGAGAGGGGCGGAGGAATCGAACTCGGGTCGGCCATGTTGGCTGCGTGTAAGGCAGATGCCCTACCCGCTGTGCTATCGCTCCAGCCCAGTACCAGTGGCGCAATCGGTTAGCGCGCGGTACTTATACGGCAGTACTGATCTTATTATTTATTTTTTGGTTGGGGGGCCAGATCTGGCTGTGCTTGGGGCTTATTTATGGCTCTGTGCTCAGGGATCACTCCTGAAAGTCTCAGAGAATGAATGGGATGTTAGGGATTGAACCAGGGTGAGCCATGTATAAGACAAGTTCCTCACCTGCTGTATTTTCTCTCTCTCCACATTTACTTTTTTTGGGGGGGTCATACCCGGCTATGCACAGAGGTTACTCCTGGCTCTGCACTCAGGAATTACTCCTGTAATTGCTCAGGTGACTAGATGGGATACTGGGAGTTGAACCCGGGTTGGCTGCGTGCAAGGCAAACTCCCTATCCGCTGTGCTATCGCTCCAGCCTCTCCCCTACATTTACTTTTACTATAATTTAGGTACCATCGTTGCAATAGTGTTCATGTTTATGGTTTTAGTGTGCAAAGTTTCTGTACTTCCCCACCACTGCCCTGTGTCACATCTAGTTTGCCTCTGCATTCCCTTACATTTTCCCTGCTTGGTAATCTCAGTTTTATAATTCAAGGTAAAGTTTCTGTCATTGTTTGACACTATTTCCTTTTTTTTCTCTATATATCAAAGACATGCTGAGACCACTCTCCGCACACCTGAAGGTACTGGCAGAGGGACAAATCCACGCGGGTTCCGGGGCCGAGATGTCCCAGTCTACTCGGATTGGAGTCGAGCATCCTCCACCCAGATCCTCCAAATTCCAGTAGGCGGGGGTCACACCCACCACCTGGCCCCCTGGCGCCATGTAATCCCATCAACGGCCAAGACTCAGAGACTATAAAATCCAGCTCCCGGTACGGCCGCGCGACCTCTTCTCAGGACATCTTTTATGATATCTTATCATCTCATTCCTACTTTGGACAAACTTGCAGGCTCTCGAATGTAGCCTGCCCCCAGGGCAGAGTCTGGCAAACTCCCCGTGGCGTACCAAATATGCCAAATACCAGTAACAATGATGGGTCTCATTCTCCTAAAGAGCCTTGAATATAACCTCAGGGCCAGGATGAAGGAGACATTACTGGGGCCTGCTCGAGGCAATCGACGAATAACAAGATGATGAAATGAAATGAAATGAAATGAAAATATATCACAGAAGAGTGGGGGTGGAATCCAGTATTTGTCCTTGCCCTTTAACACAATACCCTCCAGTTCCATCCAAGTTGCAGCAAATTGCAGGATTTAATCTTATAGCCGCATAATATTCCATCGTGTACATAAACTACAACTTCTCGATCCTTTCATCTGTCATTGGATATTTGGGTTGCTTCCATAACCTGGCTATTAGCCCTGCAATGAACATAGCTGTGCACACATCATTTGGAGTTAATGTTTTTCTGTTCTTGGGGGAGATGCCAAGAAGTGGAATTGTTGGGTCAAAGGGAAGCTCAATTCTTACTTTTTTCAGTCTCCGTACTGTTTTCCTTAGAGGCAGAACCAAGGATATTCCCACGAATTGTGAATGAGATTTTTCACCACATCCCTTCCAGCACTGATGGTTTCCAGTCTTTTTGATATATGCCATTCTCATGGGGATGAGATGAAGCTTCACTGTCTTTATGATTTACACTTCCCTGATAAGTGACAATGAATGCTGCTTCACGTGCCTGCTGCCAGCCTACATGTCTAGAAGCCATTCTTACTCTTTGACTGCTAGTCACTGCTCAGGTTTGCAGCCTGCTCTTCCAAGTTTCTATCTGAAATGCCAAGTGATTGCCAGGCACAATCAATCTTCTGGCTTTTTAAAAAATGAATATTTTAGGGAAAAATATTTCTTTGCTTGGCAGGCTCTGCCAGAGGGCTCAGAAGAAACTGTGCACAGGCGAGATTAAGGGCCCAATGCATCATCTCTTAGTCTTTGCATTTTGGTTTCAGTTTTGCTTCTCCCTGTCTTTACTTTTTTCATCTACCTACGTTCCTTTGCCAATAACTTTGTCAGTATCAGTTGGAGAAAAGGCAGTGAGAAATTAAACCAAGTCAGGGTCTGGGGAGACAGGGGGCTGGTGTTCTGATATGGTTTCCCAGGCCAATGTGCTGGACATCAGGGTCCCCTAAAAGAGATGCAGTTGTCATGGTAAGCTGAGTCTCCATGGTGGTAGTTTCCACCAGATTTAAGATTGGGGTTCTGCAGACTGGCTTTGCTCTGCGAGATGGCAGGAAGCAGGAAGAAGCCAGGGAAGGCTGGCTTGTTCCACACATGCTTCAAAACTCCAAGGTTCGATGGCCAATGGAAATAGCCCCATCTCAACCCAAATTTCAACAACTCTCCCCGAGCAGAAGCTACCATGGTATAGGTAGTCCACATGGGACAAAGAACTACCACATCCCCTCCACAGTTGGAAAACCTTTGTTCCACTTAGATAGAGAGCAGAAATTAGGGGATCTGCTGGGATTGTGTGTGCCCTTCTGTGGGAGTCCTGGAGGGCTTAGGTGTCCTTTGCAGACACACTGTGCTCTAGGGAGAGGGGACAAGATGGCTACTTTCCTTACAAGCTGAGGGAGGGGGTCCAATGAGATGCTGGGTTTGAAGTGGATGATATGGCACATCAGAGCTCAGTCTCTATAGGATCCCCAAGATGGTGGCTTCAAGCTTTTGGGTCTTTGGAGGACACAGACAGCTATCCTCCCTGAGACATACAGACACTTGACAAACTCCAAACAATGCCAGGTTAGGAATCTATAACCAAATGTACTTTTTTTTTGTCAGAGCTGGAGAAACTGTGATTTTTCTATCAAGATCATCTTAGTTTAAAAGCCTATTAGAAGGGCTGGAGAAATAGCATAGCGGGTAGGGTGCTTGTCTTGCACACAGCCAATCCAGGTTCAACCTCCAGCATCCCATATAGTCCCCCGAGTACCACCAGGTGTAATTCCTAAGCATTGCCAGGTGTGACCCCAAAACAACAACAAGAAAAAAAAAACAATAGAAGCACATTAGGTTCCTTTAGTCCTTTCTTACAAACATCTGATAGTTTTCCTTTTTGTTTGTGTTTTCATTTTGGCTTTTTCAGGGGCTATATCCATCAGTTTTAAAGGCTCACTCCTGGTTCTGCACTCAAGGACCATTCCTGGCAGGCTCAGGGGACTACATGGGGTTCTAGGGATAGAATTCAGGTCAGCTGCAGGCAAGGCAAGCATCCTACCCACTCGACAATGGTCTGGCCCCTTCCCTTCTTTTCTGGAGGGAGAGGGTCACACCCGGCGATGTGCAGGGGTTACTCCTGGCTCTGCACTCAGGAATTATCCCTGGTGGTGCGCAGGGGACCATAAGGGATGCTGGGAATCGAACCCGGGTTGACCGCGTGCAAGGCAAATGCCCTACCTGCTGTGCTATTGCTCCAGCCCCCTTCCCTTCTTTTTAATCCAACTTTTGTTTTAATGTGGCAAAACTTAAGTTTTTTTTTAAACTGAGGATTTTTTAAAAATCTTAAAATTTTTAAAAATTTAAAAAAAAATTTTTTTTTTTTGCATTTTGGGTCACACCTGGCGATGCACAGGGGTTTCTCCTGGCGCTGCACTCAGGAGTTACTCCTGGTGGTGCTCAGGGGACCATAAGGGATGCTGGGAATCGAACCCGGGTTGACCACGTGCAAGGCAAACGCTCTACCCGCTGTGCTATCTCTCCGGCTCCATTTTTAAAAAAAATTTTAAAAAATCATATGAATGATCGGTTTGAGGCTCTTCGTGTTCCTAGAACGAACAGACGCCATTGGGCTACACTAGCACGCGACAGGGACAAATGGAGACGTTACTGGCGCCCGCTTGAGCAAATCAATGATTAACAGGAAGTCAAGTGATCAAGTGATGTTGTTGTTTGTGACTCAGGATTTACACCTGTCTCTGTGCTGAGAATCACTCATGGGTGCTGGGATCAAACCTAAGGTTGGCTGTGTGCATGATACCTGCCCTTGTAGCCAAAATGAAAACACAAACAAAAAGGGAAACTATCAGATGTTGCAAGAAAGAACTAAAGGGACCTAATGTGCTTCTTTTGTTTTTTTTTTTCTTGTTGTTGTTTTGGTGTCATACCCTTGTAGAAAATCTCATCTTACAAGATTTTCAATTTGAACCATTTTTAGAGACCCCACCCAGGCTGTGCTCAGGGGGTCTGAGAGCCACTCCAGTGATATTTAGCCAATTGGGCCACAGTGTTCAGGGCTCAGGCCCAGTGATACAGTGCTGCTAGAGTCTAGTGGTGCAGGGGTCGCCAGGTCATCCCAGTGGTGCTCAAGGGGCTATGCAGTGCTGGGGATCAAACTCAGGGACATGCCAGACATACACTCTGGAGTCATCTGCCTGACCCCTTTTTAAAACCATTTTTAAGTATGCTATTCATTTGTCTTTATTCTTGATCTAAACATTTCCTCTGAGCCAGGGAGACAGGAAGACAGCACTAGGGCTACTATTCATGCTTTGCATGGGGGTTTGCATGGTTCCCCAAGCACCACTGGGACTGGCCCCCAAGAACTGGGCCGAGAGTGACTTCTGAGCGCTACCAGGTGCAGCCCCCAAAACAAAAACTTAAAAAGTCTAAATAAAAAACACCCCCTCTGTTTCATGCCCTTGCAGGACCCTGTGGTCTCCCCAGCCCTCCCCGAATGCCCCTCATTCACCATATTCTAGTCTTTCCCCTTGCTACTTAGCAACTCACTAAATGGAAGGACCTTAAGTTTGCTGGCTTTTCCTTTGAAAGACATAGCCTCTTTCTGCCCCATCTTTTCTCATTATTTTTAATCTCTGCTCAAATGGCATCTTCATAGGGAGGCCTTTTTTGGTCATCTGAAGCAGGGACTGGCAGCCTGTTTTCTGTAAGGGCTCATGGTGTGACTATTTCCAGATCTGCAGGTCATGTGGTCTCTGTCTAAATTGCTTGACTCGGCTGTTAAAGGTCAAAGCAGCTGAGGACAATCCATGAGTGGGGGCATGGCTGGGTGTCCACACACCTTGATTCAGCAGAACAAAGAGCAGGCTGAATTTGCCTATAGGCCTCTAGACCCTGTTTGCTGACCTCTGGCCCTGACCTACAATATCACCTGCCTGCACTCACCCCCAACTCTCTACTCCTTTTCCTACATCCTTTTATCCACGGTTCTTTTGAAACAATTTTTTTGGTTGCTCCGTGTTGATTATTGATGTCGGCATTAGACTATAATCTCCAAGGAGTGGGGTGGAGTTTGTGTACATTTGTTGGAGGGGCGTCTTTTCTTTTTTTTTTTTTTCTAATTTTATTTTAGATTTTGGGCTACACCTGGCAATGCTCAGGGGTTGCTCCTGGCTCTTCGCTCAGGAATCAATACTACCAGTGCTCAGGGAACCATCTGGAATGCGGGGATTGAACCAGGTCACCTGCTTACTGGGTGTAAGTACAGATATACTTTATCTCTGGCCCTGAGGGTGCCTTTTCATAGTTGTCTCCCCAGAGCTAGTTTATGGCCCAGCCCAGAGGATGTGCTCACTCAGCAAGTAGCATTTGCATCAAGGAGTAATTTCCAGTGATTTGTGTGAGCTTAGGTAGATCCTTAGAGTCGGCCAATCAACGCAGAACAGTTGCTTTATCTCCTGGCAGAGAGTTAAGCTTGGGAAAGCAGGGAGGCAGCCCCAGAAAGAGATGCTGCTTACCTCTCTCATGACTTGCCTGCAGGCTCCGCATGGTGAGATAAAGTCATCTTTCAAGTCGCTAGGGAGTCAGAGAATGAAACATGGGTTAGTCCTGCTGGAGGCGTAAAGACAATGGCTAGACTTAGTCCCCAAGTCCCCACCTTGCTCCAAATGGAGCCACACTGGCCAGGTAGTTTCTGATTCACAGACGAACCATGGTGGAGAGGCCAACAAGGGGCACGTGAGCTTTCCACACTTCCCAGAGACCTAGTCACCAATGGTTGTTTTAGAGCATTCAACAGATGTTTGGTAAGTGCTGACCATCACTCAGAATCCATCGACACCAAGGTTTGGAAAAAGGTATCTCTGGGGTGACAGAAAACTAAATGAGTTCTAATTTCATTTTTATTATTATTTTTGTTTGGGGGCCACATCATATGGTGCTTAGGGGATACTTCTGGCTCTATTCTTTTTTTTTTTAAAGTAGGAGTAGCACTGTAGCACTGTCTTCCCATTGTTCATCGATTTGCTCGAGTGGGCAGCAGTAACATCTTCATTGTGAGATTTGTTGTTACTGTTTTTGGCATATTGAATACGGCACGGGGAGCTTGCCAGGCTCTGCCATGTGGCAGGATACTCTCGGTAGCTTGCTGGGCTCTCTGAGAGGGACGGAGGAATCAAAAGCGGGTTGGCCACACTCAAGGCCAATGCCCAACCCGCTGTGCTATCGCTCCAGCCTTTAATGTAGGAGTACTGCTACTTATTCAGCCATTGATTAAGATGATTCAAATGGGCATGAATTCCACTACTACATAAAAAAAATTTTTTTTTTTACTAAATATCTGTGAGATAGACCATTACAAAGCTGTTCATAATTGGGTTTCAGTCATACAATGATCCAGCACCCATCCCTCCACCAGGGTACATTTCCCACCACCAATGTCCCCTGTTTCCCTCCCACCATCCCCCAAAACTCCATCCCCCACCCCCAGCCTCCCTCTAAGGGAGGCACTTTCCTTCTTGCTCTCTTTCTCCTTTTCCTTTTGTGCATTATGGTTTGCAATACAGGTGCTAATAGGTCATGGTGTTTGTTCAGGGCATTCAGTATTTTTATTGGGACCGTAAGGCTGGAGTAGATTTTGAATTGGGTGGCTGTTTTGGCATGTGGATATGACTATTGAGGCTTCTGGAAGTACAGGGAGGTGGGGGGGAGGTAGCCCATCCTGACCCTGAGAAAGCCTGGAGGTTTTAGTCACAAAACCCGCATACCTGAATTTTCAACAGATTTGTGTCTTGGTGGAATCAGTCCTGAGACAGTTGGGTAAGGCCAGAGGCATGGCAGCGATTTTTAATTGTGGAAGCAAGCAGCTGCCAGGGGTGGGCACTAGGCCAACCTGCCCCCTCCAGTTTACCCTGGTCTGTTCAACCATGCATGGGTCTGAGATTAATTGTGGCTTTTGATCTCTTTTGAGATTTATTTACAGGTCTCTAAAATAAGGCCAATAAATGAGCTTATATAGCTGAGACAGAGGTGGTTTGTGGGCATGGCTCCCACATACCTAACTTTCGGTCATTTAATTTCTCGGTAAACTTGGTCCCAAGTTGTTGGGGTCCGACCAAAAGCCCAGCAGCAATTTGGGGGCATCAGGAAGTCTGAAGGCACAATTAGGCTACTGATGTACTCACCCCACAGGTACAGGTTGATCTGCTGGTGGCACCACATCCCTGGCTCTATTCTTCAGGGTTGCTCTTGGCAGAACTTGGGGGACCCAGTAGTGCCAAAGGTGAATTCCTGCCTCTTGCATGCCAAGCAAGTACTCAGGTACTGAACTCTCCGTCCAGCCCACGTTCTTGTTTTATTTTTAAATTTAAAAAATCTTTATCATTTCTAAGACCAGACTTGAGTAGGTAAAGAACTAGGTGTGGGGACACATGCTTGGTTTTATTATAGCGAGTATTTAGTCTGCCCTGATTATTACAAAATCAGAACAGTGAGAATATTCACAGTCAAGTTTTTATTTTATTTTATTTATTTATTTTTTTGCTTTTTGGGTCACACCTGGCGATGCTCAGGGGTTACTCCTGGCTTTGCACTCAGGAAATCACTCCTGGCAGTGCGCAGGGGAATATATGGGATGCTGGGAATCGAATCCGGGTTGGCCGCGTGCAAGACAAACGCCCTACCCACTGTGCTATCACTCCAGCCCCTCAAGTTTTTATTTTAAACAATGTGTACTAGGTTCAGTGAGCTGAGGCGACAGAGATGCTCTCTTGAAGGACTGGATTTTTCGGTATGCAATGGAAATAGTCATTGCAAAGGCCCCAAGACATGAAAGAATAAAATGTGTGTGCTTCAAGGAGAAATATAGGCTCCTGAATCCAAGCATGTGGAGAAGAGACGGTAACATCTGGGGATTGCCTCTGAGGAGGCAGGCTTCTCCTCTCCAAGCAGGAAGGAGATGGTGCTACAAACAGGCAGGCTCAGCTGTAGCATAGCCACTACCCTGGAGGGTTAATACACAGTAATTCTGGGACCACCCAGATGAGATTTCACATTGTTCCATATGTGTCTGGTGGGGTCTGGGATGTGGCTTACGTGGTAGAGCACATCTTGTATGTTTGAGGCCCTGGGTTTGATCCCCTGTACCACATAACCCCCTGAACACTGCTGGGACAGACTCTTGTGGCCTCTAACTACTCCTGTCTGCAACCCCCAGAACATAACCAACAATGGAATATATCAGACATTCTAAAAAGTACTTCATGTGCATTGTCTAATTTTAATAAACATTGAGCACCTACTATGTGGCAGGCACTGTTGGTGCTGGCTGTATGGAAGTGGAAAAATTACTCAGAGTTTATTACATGCAGGAGTTTTTGAGTAGTGAGGGGAACCAGACAACCAAGCAGTCCATTAACTGGTATCTTGGGGATACAAGGATACTATGAGTTCAATAAATCATATGAGAGGAAAGAGAATAATGGGGTGCTGCCCTATTTAATCTTCATGGCAACTCCCTTTTTTTATATGGGGAATTGGGCCCAAAAGAGTTTAGCTTCATGAAAAGAAGGATTCCTCCTTGAGCACACTCCCTGCTTCAGAATAAAGCCCTTGGGAACATGAGAGGGACCCTTGCCCGGAATGCCTATTGAGCAGATTCAGCCTTACAAGGACTGGGGACTAGTGGAGGCAGACTCTGAGAAGTTCTTTGGAGGTGGGACTGCTGCTTTTTACTGCTTTCAATTTATGTTACCCTGGAGCCTGCTCTATGAGAGGGTTGCAAAAAGAGCAACAAAGACCCATCCTATAATTTCTGACATCAGGGATCTTTTTGAAATGGCGATAAAATCTCAGGGAAATTGGCTGTGGTTAGGACCACAGGAAAGGCACTGAGTGAACTCCAGCCTCCCTTCCATGGATGGCCAGGATCCAGCCCCTGTCAAGGTCCCCACTTCCTTTCCCACTCTGTGACACGTATGGCCATCTGACAATAAACATCTCCTTGGACATTGTGACTTGCACTTGGGGTTTCAAGGGTGTACATTTGAAACTGGATTTAACCATGGGTTTAGTCATCAAAAGTCAGAAGCAAGTACATGTAAGCACCAGAGGCCGGAGAACTGGGAGATAGCCCAATAACAAGAGCTGGCAGTTATAATGCCCTTCTCTGTGCTAGGCACTGTGCTAAGGACCTTATATATGTTAATTCATTTACTCTTCTAACGAGTTTTTCCTATTATCCACATGATCATGAAAGTAGCCTTCCCAAGGTCTAGTTATAGAGTTAGTAAATAGAATTGAACACAGGACATATGAACTCTGCCTTGGGTAGTCTTGCAGCTTGTAGAAGTAATGATAATAACTTAAAAACAATTTTAAGGGGGGTATGGTGCCATCAGCAGGTCAGTCTGTACCTGTGAGGCAAGTGCATCAGCAGCCTGATGGTACCATCAGACTTTTGGATACCCCAAAATTGCTGCTGTGCCTTTGGCCAGACCCCAAAACCTTGGGGCAAAGTTTACCAAGAAAGTAAATGGCCAAAAGTTAGGTATGTGGGAGACACACCCACAAACCATCTCTGGCTCAGCTATATAATTGGAAGCAAGGCCTCTCTGGTTCCTGATCAAACTGCTTAACAGCCATGATCCCAGGGACTCAGAAATGAATCTTGGAACCCAAAAACTTTTGGCAGAAATGCGTCCTGTTCCTGTAGTAGGTTACTGGTTACTGGTCCTGTTCCTGTAGTAGGTTACTGGTTACTGGTCCTGTTCCTGTAGTAGGTTACTGGTTACTGGTACCAGGTGGGAATAGGTTTTGGGCCTTATCCTATTCCCCCTGGTGGCCCGGTGACCGCCATCCTCCAGAGGCCACAGGACAGTCAGGTTTGGACCTGCAGTGACGAGACACGCGGGGCCTCACCAGATGGGGGTGGAACTGGCCCTTTCCTTCCCATCCCAACGAGAACCCGAATTGCCACCTACAAACGGCCTCTCTGGCTCCTCATCAAGCAGATTAAAGGCCATGATCCCAGAGACTCAGAAACAAATCTCGAAACCAAGCAGCTTTTGGCAGACATGCATCTCGACCACATACAAGTGGCTGCCTCCTCAGAACTTATTGGAAAGCCAGGTATGAGCCGGTGGTGACGGGGCAACTGCAGTCTCATGGGAAGGGGGATGGTACCGGCTCATCCTTCATGCCCTATTAAGGTCACGAGTTGCCCCCCATGAGTAGCTCTCCAGCATAGCCATAACACCAGACGCACAAAAAGCAATCTCATAATAATCTGGCTCTTTGCAGAAGTCCAAAATCATTATATGACATATAATTCTCATACCAGCTATAGAAAACAAAGTACTTCACAATGCCTTTTCAGCAATTCTGATTGTTGGGGGGCGGATCCTAAACAATAATGGTGCATCTTTTGTTGAAATAATGAATGTAATCAATGTAGAGAAGAGTTAAGTAGAAATCATCTGCCTCACAGGCATTGAGAGGGGTGGGAGGGGGGTATATTGGGGTTCTTGGTGGTGAAAAATGAGTACTGTTTGATCATTGTATGACTGAGACTTAAACCTGAAAGCTTTGTAACTTTTCCCACAGTGATTCAATAAATAAATATGGTGAACTATGCCTGGGCAGGGCGAAGCCAGAGGAAACTCTGGTGGAGGTCCGTAGCGGTCCTGACGTGCAAATCGATCGTCCAACCTGGGTATAGGGGCAAAAGACTAATCGAACCATCTAGTAGCTGGTTTCCTCTGAAGTTTCCCTCAGGATAGCTGGCGCTCTCACACGACCACCCACAAATAAATATAAGAAGAAAAAATAAATAAAATTATAAAAAAGTAAGGTGGAATTTATGCCCAATTCAATCAGCTAATCAATCAGTGGATGAATAAATAGCAGTACTCCTACATAAAACAAAAAAAATAATTTTAGGTGGTTGGAGAGATAATACAGTGGGTAAGTTGCCTGCCTTGTATCTGTCAACCTGGATTCAATCCCCAGCACCATGTATGGTCCCCCTGAGTCCAGCCAGGAGTAATCCCTGAACAAAGAGTCAGGAATAAGCCCAGAACACCACCAGATGTGGCCCAAAAACAAACAAAAAATATTCATGGAATACTCTGTGCCAAGTTCTTTTACAGAAATTGCTTCCCAAGTCCTCACAATCGCTCATGGGTAGATGTTATTCTCTTCTACTTTATAGACTGAAAAACCAGGCTCAGATGGCTAGAACAATGTCCCTGAACTCAGTAGCTAAGCAGGACTTGAAACTAGGTCTCAAAACCCCCAAAACACCTCGGCTCATAATCATTGGCCATGAGTTCTAATTATTATCTTGTTGGTTTTTTTTTTTGGGGGGGGGATGCACAACCAGCAATGCTCAGGCATCACTCTCAGCCATGCTCAGGGAATCATGTGGTGCCAGGAATTGAATCCAGAGCCTCCCACATGCACTACCACTGAGTCACATCCTCAGGCACCATGAGTAAGATTTTATGGCTGGAAAGAAGATTGCATTTCAGAAGGTTCTGGGTACATAAGGTGTTTCCTCCTTATTTCCCCATTCTCTTTCTCCTCTGCCCTTTCCTCTCCGTCTGGGCGGGGTAGTGAAAGTTTCCAGTGTTTTTTACTGCCCTTGGTTGTGTTGAGGCCATGCTTTTCTGACTCAACAGGCTGGAAACCTATTGCCTTTGATGAGGACAGCTGGGACCCCAGGGCTGTGCTTTTCGAAGGGGCTCTCTGAGACTGTTTCACACCCATCACTGTTAACAAGGGAGCTGGCATTTTCCATTCGTCCTCTAAATCCACACTCTCAATTTAACAAGTCATTAGTGCAATAATGACTGCATTTCTGGCTCAGGGACGCGGCTTCGGGCTGGGTACCCAGAGGAGAGCAGTTGGGTGCTGGAAAAATGCAGGTTTTGTGTAAATAAGGACATTTGCTAATCATCATTAGCAACACCCAGTCATGTTTGAAAGTAGATAATGACCAAGAGAAAAAGCTTTTCATTTAGAACATTCTAAACAGAGCTAGGCTACTGCACTATTACCCTTTTGTTGACTTTGCTTTCTTTTTCTCCAGAATGTCATTATTTTCTTGGATCAGTTCTGAAACTGAGTGAATCTCCCCACTTTTTTTTTTTTAATAAAGTGTAATTCACATCCTGATCTCAGCTCTTTTGTACAAAATGTTCCCAGCATGGTCTCATTTATTCCTCTCAAAGCCAAAGGGAGTCCAGGCCAGATTCTGGGCACTGGAAGGGCTCTCAGAAGCTGGGGCCTTCTCCATAAGGGCATGGTTGGCTCCAGCTACTCAAAACAAAAACAAAAACAAAAACAAATAAACAACCTTCAATAGCCTGGGTCAGCCTGGGCTCAGCATGAGGCCAAGTTTGCAATCTTGTCAGAGAAATCGGGGCTTTTTTCTGTCACTTAGTTCCCACCATCTTTGTTCTAATTCCCAGTTTCCACAGCTTGCCTTTATAGGAGGAAGGTCCAGCAGCTCTGCCATAATGAAGCCATAATTCACTACTCACACATGACCCTAGCTGTCTGAGGGCTCAAGATGTCAAACTCAGTCATCCACGCCATTCCTTTCTGGGGGTGAAACATTTGTCACACCATTCTCCTTGCATCATTAACTTGCAAAGAATATGCAATATGAGTGTGCACACAAGAGCAATTAACAGTGAAATCTGAGGCACAATGGGGGCCACATTTGTACAAGAGCCCATTTTCATGCTGGAATGGTGAGGTCCCCTGGGTGCAGGGCCAACAAGAATTCAAATTCCATTTGTGAGGATGCATGTAAGTACAAATGCATCATGTTTTTTTTTGTGTGTGTGTTGTTGTTGTTGTTGGGGGTGCATACCCAGCTATATTTGGGGGACTACTGGCAGCTTAGTGTTCAGGGCACTATGCAGTGCTGGGGATCAAACCCAGGGTGTCACATATGCAAGACAAGTGGCTCAACTGCAGAACCCCATCCCTGACCCCTAGGCATTTATATTGAAAACATACAGAAAGAATTTAGAGGTGCTATGTTTAGCAAGGATCTGAAGTGTGATTCATTTGAACCCTAAGCCAAGTTTACCCGACTGTCCACAGCCAGCTTATCTTTGCATCTTTGTTCCTGGCACCTAGAGGTGAGAGTTGCCATGTGGAGAAGTCAGTTTGCATAGCAACAATCCCAGTCTCGACTTTAAGGGGGTAGGGAAGTGTGTTTCAGATCTCCTGGCACAGGGAGGCACAGTGAATAAGCCTGGATGAGACACTAGAGAGGGATTTTGTTCTGCTCTACCACTAGCCTGTTGCTCCTTCTCAGCCTGTTTCTTTAACTGTAAGATGGAGGGGTAGTTGGTGAGTCTACACTGAGGGATGGTTAGGTCCCTTCAGCTTAAGGGTTCTCTCTCTCTCTCTCTCTCTCTCTCTCTCTCTCTCTCTCTCTCTCTCTCTCTCCTTTCGTATCTTCAAGGAATTCTGCGGAATTTGTACTGTTAGAACCACAGTACAACTGTCCTTGTCTTGCTTGTTTCCTGCTCTTGGACGCACCCAGGGCAGAGTCCATTTCTTATTTATCTCCTTATCCTCTGCACTCAGCCCAGAGTCCTGGTGTGCCCAGCACATGGAAGTCGTAGAGTAAACATGTTCCATACAGAGTGTCTGCATGAGAGTGGATGTGGAGTGGATGTGGGCCAAATGGAGGAACCCCCTAGTTGCTGGGTCCTGGCCTTCCCACTCACCTGGCAATAGCGATTGCCTGGAAATCCTTGTATCCTTCTGAAATGGCCTTCTGGATAGCGGTGCGCTCAGCACAGTTGCCCAGGGCATAGCAAGCATTTTCCACATTGCACCCTGTAAAGAGAGGAGAGCTCAATGGTACCTCAAGCCATTTCCACAGCCATTTCCTGTTGGCTGTGTTGGGAGAGAATTTGCCCCATTCTAATGCAGAAAGGGACCAAAACTCAGTATAATGAAGAGAAGAAAAATGCAATTTCCCTAGACACCTTGAGAGGCTCTGGTCCATGCGGTTGGGGTGCCCATCTCAGGACCCTCCTGTTCTCACTCACACACAGCTGTGGGTTATGAGCACAGAAGGGCCTAATCTAGCTTCTCCCCAACATAGGTCAAGGTCAAGAGCAATGCAGAGGTGAGATAAAGAGAGAGCAAGAGAGAGCAAGAGCGAGAGCGAGAGCGAGAGCGAGAGAGAGAGAGAGAGAGAGAGAGAGAGAGAGAGCAGAGCTCCAGTTTGGGGTGTAAGACACAGAAGTCATGGCAGAGTGGCAAGTGGCAGGGATGGCGGAGGCTGGATCTTGATTCAAAACTTGGAGTTGAGCAGATTTTTAGGTGCTGAGTACCAGCTAGTTCAGTCAGGGTCCTTTGTGACTTATTTCGTAGGATTTGCTCGAGCGGGCCCAGTAACGTCTCCATTGGAGACTTTGTTGTTACTGTGTTTGGCATACCGAATACTCTCAGTAGCTTGCTGGGCTCTCCGAGAGGAGCGGAGGAATCGAACTCGGGTCGACCATGTTGGCCGCTTGTAAGGCGAACGCCCTACCCGCTGTGCTATCGCTCCAGCCCAGGATATGCTATCAAAATCAACACACACACACACACACACACACACACACACACACACACTCACTCAAGCTTTATAAAAATGCCAGTGATTGCAAAGTCTTAAGGCAGTCCTCAGGCATCCAATGGGAGGTGGGCTGCTAAGATGGTCCTGTCCCCAGCCAGAAATCCTCTCAGGATGTCCCTGGAGAACAAGCTGGTAAGGCCTTCTTCTAGGAGGTAAAACACTGACGTTGCTGATTGGATAAGAAATGCCATATTTTCAGAGAAGGGAACAGATGAGTGCCAGAACTGGGCTTTGTCCTGACCACCAGATGTGTAAATGCCTGTATCACTTCTCCTGACTTCCTTTGCTCCCTAAGGCAGAGCTGTTCCTTGTTCCCTATAGCCATTTCTCCTTTTACCTTTAATAAATACAAGAACTACAAGCCAAACACAATATGACTGATCAGCACATGACTGATCACATGTAGCAAGAGATGGTATATCCCAGACTCTCTTGTAGCCAGGTGTGGCTCTATAACTATGTATTGGCCAGTGGAATGTGGCCCCAAGTGATGTGGGAAAATTCTATTGCTTTTGTTTGGTAAGAAGATCGCTTGGCTTGTTATTATTATTTTATTAAATCACTGTGAGATAAACAGCTACAAAGTTGTCCATGATTGAGTTTCAGTCACACAATGTTCCAACACCAACCCTTCACAGTGTACATATCCCACAACCAATGTCCCAAATTTCCCTCCTTCCACACCCCATGCTTTACGTATTACTTCATTTCTTTTCCTCAGGCTTAGATCGGGCACAAGAGTATTGAACATTGGTTTATGGTTACAGGAATGAAAAAGAAAAGAAGAGACTTGGGCTCCCTTAAGCTCAGGAGATCGCTCAAGGGCCAGAGCACATACCTTGCATGCACAAAGCGCCCAATTTTATTCCCTATACCGAATGGTCCCCAACCCAGCACTATCATGGGCTTATGCCTTGAACTGCCTAGCTCAGTTAGATGAATAATCTGAAAGAGGTCCCAGACCACTTCTAGCCCTGCTAGAGTCATTTACTACACTCTGCCAGCCTGTAAAGAGATCAACCCCAAAGTAAGACTTGTGTGGAGGCATATTACCAAAAAATCCAAAACAAAACCAAAACCAAATAAACAAATAAACAAAAACAACTGTATAACTCCCCCCAGCAAAAACAACCCCCCCCAAAAAAAACCCCGTAAGAAAAAAAAACAAAGCTAAAAACATCATAAACAAACAAACAGAAAACCTTGTAAGTCAAAATAAATCAGGGGCCATTGATAATTGTATTTTGGGCTCTCTTTTTGTGCCCCATATGATGATGGTTATGGGTTTTTCCTTATTCCTAACTCAGGAATTACTCCTGGCAGTGCTCAGTGGTCCATATGGGGTGCTGGAAATAGAACCTGAGTAGGTCACGTGCAAGGTCATGGTCAAGTGCCCTACCCACTGTACTGTCTCTCCAGCCCCCGCCTTTTTTTTAAATAGCAATTTCCTCTGGTAGAGAAAGGTGGACTGAAAGTGTTTCAGTTTTTTTTGTGGAGGGTTGGGAGGGCACACCGAGCTGCTGCTCAGGGTTCACTCTCTCCTGGAAGTGCTCCAGGGTCCACATGTGGTGTTGGGGACCAAAGCAGGGTTGTTTGTGTGCAAGGCAAACCTCCTAACTCCTGCATTATCATTCTGGCCAGAGATTCAGCTTAATTTAAAAATAGATGAGGGCTGGAGAGGGCACGGGAAGAAAGGGACTTGCTTGCATGTGGCAACAGCAATCTGGAGCCTCGTTCAAATCCCCAGCATCACATATCATCCTCTGAGCATCAAGCCAGGAATATCCCTGAGCACCACTGGGTGTGGTTCCATGCCACCCCACCCAATAAAAACCAACAAACTGTGGCCCAGGCTTCATAGCTGGGTGCAGGAGGAACAGAGACATGGCAACGTAAAGGCAGCTGCTCTGGCTATTTGCCCTGTGGCAATTAGTTGGAGCAGCCCACCCTGAGGGATCCTGGAAGCACAGACAGGGAAAACTAGCACCCTGCTGAGATTTCTCTCCCCGGAAACGGGATCCAGCTTCATGGCATGTCCCGGTCACAGTGTTATTGCCTCTAGGTGAGGCATCATGGAAAGCCAAGTGAGAAAGGAAAGCTGGCAAACCATGTCGAGCAGGTATGAGCTGGGAGTGTGGGGGCGACTAAAACCTCATGGGAAGGGGGGCGTTTCGGTCCGCCCTTCGCGCCCTACCGAGGCCACCAGTTGCCCCCACGAGCGGCTCTCCAGCACAGCCACAGCCCCAGAAGCACAATGACCTAATGCAGAACCCAGCAGCTTGGAGCAGAAAAGTGAAAGGACTATGCGTTAATCCAGGCAATCATTTCTGCCCAGAGGGGAAAGGGTGTTGCTCCCTTCCGCCCTCCTCCCTCTGGAAAGAAAGATGGCGGCCACATGGGAGCCTTGTGGACAGCAGGTATGAGCCGGGGGTGTGGGGGCGACTAGAACCTCGTGGGAAGGGGGGCGTTCTGGTCCGTCCTACACGCCTTACCGAGGTCACCAGTCACCCCTCACGAGCGGCTCTCCAGCACGGCCACGGCCCCAGAAGCACAAGGACTTAATGCAGAACCCAGCAGCTTGGAGCAGAAAAGTGAACGGACTATGCATTGATCCAGGCCATCAAGTCTGCCGGAGGGGAAAGGGTGTTGCCCCATTCGCCCTCTCCTCTCTGGAAAGAAAGATGGCGGCCACATGGGAGCCTTGTGGACAGCAGGTATGAGCCGGGAGTGTGGGGGCGACTAAAACCTCATGGGAAGGGGGGCGTTTCGCTCCGCCCTTCACGCCCTACCGAGGCCACCGGTTGTCCCCCGCGAGCGGCTCTCCAGCACGGCCAGGACTCCAGAACACAGAAACCAATTTCTTAACTATCTGACTTTCAGTAGAAATACTTCCAGGGTCAATAGGTAAAAGAGCAGAAATCCAAAACCAACATTTAATTCTTGAACCCAGCCGTAGAAAGCAAATCACTTCACAATGCTTTTTCAGCATGTCTGATTTGGGGGGGGGGGTAAACTCTAAATAATAGTGGTGAATCTTTTATTGAAACAATGAATCTAATCAAAGCAGATAGAGTGTTAACTAGAATTCATCTGCCTCACAGGGACGGGGAGGGGTGTGGGGGTGGGGTTTTATTGGGGTTCTTCATGGTAAAAAATAAGTATTGGTAAAGGGAAATGTATCTGATATTTGCATGACTGAGACATAAACCTGAAAGCTTTGTAACCTTTCCCACAGTGATTCAGTAAATAAATTAAAAAAAAAAAAAAAGAAAGTTATCAGTTGTTGTACTCTGTGTAAAAGCAACTAGAAATCCATATTTGGGAGGGTTTCTAAGTTGGTGATGGAGCCCACTTAGAAACGGGCTAAGCTTCACCAATTTCTTTGACTGCTGCTCCGCATAGTCAAAGAAGCCAAAAGTCATGCCTACAAAAGCCTGTGATTGTGCAATCTCGAAAGAAACTCCTGTTCACCCCTCTCCCAAGTCCGCACTCGGGGACGAGAGAGCTGTGTGCCCCAAAGAAGGCATTGTCTCTGTATGCCCTTCATCTGTGAGGCCAAGGATGGTAATTGCATAAGCTCCCAGAGTACAGGGACACTTGTGGATGGTGGACAAGGAGAGGCTGACTCTGGAGTAGGGGGGGAGTGGTCATCGTCATGCCCTGCAGGTCAGTGAATTGTACTGACCGTGGTCCCCTTGTGCTCTCTGGGTCTTCCTCCTCCAGGTTGTACATTGCAGAAATGGTGTGAAGTGGGAGGCGGATAGTTACTCTTCTTTGGCTGGGGGTCCACTAGACCAGCAGGGTCAGAACTGGACTTGAGGAGGACGACTGTGCTCCTCAAAATCTTGTTCTCTGAGATGGAGCAGCAACTGGTGGACTTTGCTTTGCCTCCCTCTGGAAGTGGTCTTATGTGAGTGCGTCCTATGTGAGCAGAAGGATGTGTGTGGATGCATCTAGGCCATAGCGGATCTTGTGGCAAAGAATAATTTCCCCCCTGTGTTCACTCTCTCAGGAGAATCCACTGGTGGAACAGGGCCACCGGGCTATAGAAGATGATTCCCAGTTTCTCTGGAAGCTTCACATGGCTCTTTAGCTTTACGCCATTGAATGTGAGCAGAAATAATAGGTGCAACTTCTAGATGACACTTCAAGGAGACACTGCTTTTTCCCTCCATGCTTCATCCCTCTCCTGATGATATATTTGTGCCAA